TGGGGGGCTCCGTCCCCACTGAGATGAGGGATGGTGTCTGATCACATACTGCCACCTGATGGAAAAAGTCCAGTTGTGCTCACTGGCAGCTGGGGTAGCATTCTGACCACATCACTGGTTCAGATTGGCTTTATTAAATATGACGTGACCAAATTATGATGAACCTTGTGCTTTCTTACTCATGGAATTGGTCATAGTTGCTGGAGACCCCACGGTGCTCTTACGTTAGGGCACAGGTGTCAGCTGTTACTTCTGCTTCTGCCCTCAGGCGATAGAAACTCTGACAGGCGCACTGTTTCAGCGACCACCCCTCATAGCTGCTGTCAAACGACAACTGAGAGTCAGAACCATCTATGAGAGCAAGCTCGTGGAGTATGACCCTGAGAGAAGATTAGGTAAAACAGCTTTTCTGTCTTTTTCCTATTAAGCTGACAAAATTTCCTGTGAAATGGACTGCTTCCTATTCACAGATGTCTGAAGACCTAAATCCTCACCACCATCAAGCAGTAACTGCTTCATGCATTACTTTGATGTGCTGAGAAGCAAATCCTGTCTGTTTTTTGTACTGCTGCATCCTTCATTGAAGAGCCAAATGATGTCAGTTAGACAGCATTAGCACTCAGTGCAAAGATGACCTTCATCTATCACCCCAGGCTGATGGCTCTGTGAAGGGCTGGACGTACAGCTTCTCTTGGAGGGAACTTCTAGATGTTGTTCGTTTCTAGATATGTGTTTAAATACTCTTCTGTCCTGCATTTCAGGTATCTTCTGGGTGAGCTGTGAAGCAGGCACATATATCCGAACACTCTGTGTTCACCTTGGTTTGCTGCTTGGTGTCGGGGGCCAGATGCAAGAGCTCCGCAGAGTGCGCTCAGGCATCCTGGGAGAGAAGGTAGAGTGGTAGCTCTAACTACAATGAGCAAATTTGAAATTGTCAGAATTGCAAGAGTTCCTTGGAACTGCGTTAGTTTTACAGTGTTAGGAGAAGGTATAGGTGCATGATGACTGTGAGGAGTTTTGTGAATAGCCTCAAAAACGTGGGAGCTCTTGCCATAGACGATATGTAACCAAAGCGTTGAGTTCAGTTCAGGGTGTTGCCTCTGTTCTGGTAATTAAGCTTTGGGACAGTGAGTGACTGCGAAGTGCACCATGGTGACTGAAAGCTTGTTTTATGCCACCTGTGTTTCTCAGCCCACAAACCATACACGTGCCATGAGTTCAGGCCTGTGAGCTGTCTGCTTAGCAATCTGCGACCGCTTGGTGTCAGGGCACAATGCAGGGAACGTACTTCATTGAAATGAGCCTGGGAGATGCAGTCGTGTGTTATCGCGAACACTTGTACACTGTTTTCAGTGTGGTTGTAGCTGGATCTTGCTGCCTGTCCAAACTCCAGAACTAACTTCTTTCCTTGCAAAGCAGGAGTATCAGAGTGCCAGTGCTTCCCCACTCATCTGTGCTCTTAGCACAGCAGTCATTTCTGTATTCCAGGTGTTGGACGCTTACAGCTGCTTCAAGAATTTATTCCGTGTCACAGATTGAAGAGCTGGTTAATTTAGACTTCTACTTACTAGTCTTTGTTTAGAAGTTCCAGGTATTTGTTTAAGTTCGGTCATATTTCAAAGTTTTGTGTGGACAGACCTTATACACTAGATCCAAGTGCTGTCTGAGATTAGGAAAGTTGAAGTCTGTGGTAGCACAAGTTAGGCTGACCTCAGGCTGTTGATGGAAAGTATTCTTGCCTCTTTTAGGTTGCTTTTTTTTGATGCTTCTGAGTTGGGCATCTGTTTTTCACTCCTTTTCAGCACGCTATTAGCTGTTGGACTTTAGCTGTTTTCTTGTGTGTGTTTCAAGTTGGTGGCTGCTAGGAGAGTTTCGAGGGGTTGTGTCTTTGCAGGACAACATGGTGACTATGCATGATGTGCTGGATGCACAGTGGCAGTACGACAACAACAAGGATGACAGCTACCTGCGAAGAGTTATCCTGCCGTTGGAGAAACTGCTGACTTCACACAAGCGGCTAGTCATGAAAGACAGCGCGGTGAGTTCCTGAGGTAGTACCAGTTGACAGCTAGAGACTGCAAAGTGTCCTCCTAACTTGTACAGGTAATACAATAAATGGAGGATCAGGATCCACATGGTATCCAGTGCTGTCCTGGTTATGAGCTGCGTAGGACCTAGTGTGGGCCACTGTCAGATCAGCAATAAGGTGCAAGAGCCAAGAATTGAGTGGCAGAGAAGCTGCTCTCCTTACTTCAGGAGGATGCTGATGGTTATAAGAGATCTGCCTAACATGTTTGCTGTGATAGGTGCTTTGCTTGGCTTTTTCCAAAACCCCCAAGTTTTATATAGTGGACAATAGCAGATAGATATGTAGGAATGTTACTGCTGGGACAGTAATGGCAATGGGAAGCAAAAATATTAGAGGCACTTCTTACCTTGTTTTCTTTGTCTAATAGCTTATAAGCCCTCCTGTTCCCTACATTTTCAGGTTAATGCCATTTGCTATGGAGCCAAGATCATGCTGCCTGGTGTCCTGAGGTATGAAGATGGTATTGAGCTTAATCAGGAGATTGTTGTCATCACCACAAAAGGAGAAGCTATTTGCTTAGGTATGAAACTCCTTGTTCTTCTTGTGCCCAGCTAACTGCAGAAGTAACAGACTGCGTTCCAGTGAGTGCACAACAAACCAGTCTCCATGCACAGAAGGTTGAAATAGTGCTTCCTGATGGGGACTGTGGGTTAGTATGGCCCAAAGCAGCTGGTGTTGGGCAGGATATTAAGAAACAGTGGCTACATCAGTCCTTGGCAAGGCACAAAGAGTTCCTCAGTCTGGTTTCAGCTGTGTAATGCTCAGGTGTGCTCTGTGTGTGAGGTGAT